TGTTTCAGGGCAAATGCTCTCAGATGTGCTACAACATCTTCATAGTGGAGTCGGTGTGTGTGGCCTGGTTCTCGCTGGAGTTCACGCTGCGCTTCATCCAAGACCGCAGCAAGCTGGCCTTCCTCCGGCGGCCGCTCAACCTGATCGACATCATAGCCATCCTGCCCTACTACATCACGCTGGTGGTGGACAGCACCTCCACGGGCGAGAAGCGCTTGGGCTCGGGCAGCAGCTATCTGGACAAAGTGGGCCTGGTGCTGCGCGTGCTGCGGGCGTTACGCATCCTCTATGTGATGCGGCTGGCGCGCCACTCGCTCGGACTCCAGACGCTCGGGCTGACGGCGCGCCGGTGCACGCGGGAGTTCGGCTTGCTCCTCCTCTTCCTCTGCGTGGCCATAGCTCTCTTCTCCCCGCTCCTCTACCTGATCGAAAACGAGGCCGGGGCCACGCGAGAGTTCAGTAGCATTCCTGCAACGTACTGGTGGGCCGTGATCACCATGACCACGGTGGGTTATGGCGACATGGTGCCGCGCAGCATCCCCGGACAGGTGGTGGCGCTCAGCAGCATCCTCAGCGGGATCCTGCTCATGGCGTTCCCCGTCACCTCCATCTTCCACACGTTCTCGCGCTCCTACGTGGAGCTCAAGCAGGAGCAGCAGCGGCTGCTGCAACGCAGGACTCACTTTCTGCTGCGCAGCCGCATCGCCGGTCTGGGCAGCAACTTGTCACTGGAGAGCAACATGCTTTTTCCTAGCGTCTCGTCTGATCACAGAAACCCAGAGGAATAGGAGTACAAAAAAAGTGGAGGGTGCTAATGGATGCGGAATATAAAGCAGCTGTTTTGATATCTTGAATGTCGTTTTACATATTGTCCATCAACAATCCATTAAAGGGATAGATTCAAAAAAATTCAAAAATGAAAATTCTGTCATCATTTACTCACCCTCATGTCCTTCCAAACCCCTACGAATCTGGTTAAAGGGCTTCCCAAAAGTGAATGAAAATTCTGTCATCATTTTCTCAACCTCAAGTTCTTCCAAACCTGTATGAGTTTCTTTCTTCTATTGAATGTAAAAAGAGATTTTGAAGAATGTAGGTAACAGTTGCTGGTCCCCATTGACTTTCATAATATGGAAAAAAATACTATGGAAGTCAATGGCTACCGTCAACTGTTTGGTTACCAACATTCTTCAAAATATCTTATTTTGTGAAGAAAGAAACTCATACGGGTTTGGAACAACTTGAGGATGTGTAAATGACAGAATTTTCACTTTTGGGTGAAACGACCTTCAAGTCACAGTCCCATAGAACGTAAAACGAATCCATATGATGACAGAATTTTCATTTTTTTGGTGAACTATACCTTTAAAAGTCTTTTAGAGGTGCTCAGTCGTGAACCTTCCAACAGAACTGACTTCCGAGTTTAAATTGAACATATCTAAACCTTTCAGACCTAATCAAGGTCTTTGGGTTTATTTGAAAATAGCTGGCTGTAAAAGGGAAAGTAAATGTGATATGGTTGATCTTAAAGATACAGGTCACCAAAAATTTAAATTCTGCCATTATTAAAGGCCTGTTCACACCAGGGTCAATAACTATAACAATAACTATGAAGTTTTGATAACAACACATAGGAACGATAACATTAGGATCACTTTCAGAACCTTCCTGTAATTTCAAACCGTCTTCTGTGGAACTCAAAAAGAGAATTTTGAATAATGCAAAAAGTTCAAGTTTAATAAAAATGATCTGTGTGCTATATAATGCCGTTTGAAATTGTAAAAAAATTTTAATAAATAAAAATCTTTCCCTCTGGTGGACCACTGTACTCCCTCTGAACTTGAGAACCAATATGTGAAGAATCATTTAGATCTGTTTTATGAACTGAATTCATTGACTAAAGATTTGAAAAAATTTACTTAGTCATGAATTAGACTTCACTAATTCTTATGAACGCATCAGTGTTGTTCTAAAACTCCGTTTGAAATTGTAAAAAAATTTTAATAAATAAAAATCTTTCCCTCTGGTGGACCACTGTACTCCCTCTGAACTTGAGAACCAATATGTGAAGAATCATTTAGATCTGTTTTATGAACTGAATTCATTGACTAAAGATTTGAAAAAAATTTACTTAGTCATGAATTAGACTTCACTAATTCTTATGAATGCATCAGTGTTGTTCTAAAACAGTTGTTTTCAGTGATTAAAAAGAAAGCTAAAAGAAAATATTAGATGAAAAGCCTAAACTTAAAAAAAAAGTCATGTTGCAGTGGAAATCAACTAACTAATTAAAGCTATATATAAATATGGATATATAAAGCTATATAAAAAATTGTAAACTCAACTAATAAAAGTGACAAAATTACTAAAACTTAAACTAAAATCGAAATGAAAACTGACATATAAAAATAAAAACGAATTGAAAATAAAATAATACATTTATATGCTAGTATAGTATTTATAATATAAATAATGATGTATGATAATAATAAAATAACACAGGAACACATCATACACAAATAAATTCAACTATCAAGGACAGCTAGGGTGTAATGCAAGATTTTAAGTAAATAAAAACTTCACAAAGCCATCATGTGACTTCTGAAGTCCTGGTATACACTTTACAATATTATTGTACGTTATATTGAAAAGAGTGGCCAGGATAGGCCATGGAAGGCTGCAGGTACGTTTTGGAGAGACATGAGAATCTGCACACTTGCGTTTCAGTACTGCATGAGCATCTTCCCTTAGTGCAAATTTAATTCGAACACACAAATCGCATCACACACTAACATGTCACTTGAATCATGTGTTTAAACACCAGGTTTATGTTCAAAGTTTCGTGCTGCTGATATGTGCTGAAGTGTATGATTCAAATCCATGTAACCTGCAGATTTCATGCCATATAATTCTGTACCACAATATACAATCTGTAATGTGTATTGCTAAAAAAACATCTGCCAGGAATATCTCCCTATATAGTTTCTAAAATGTGTCACATACTGTTTTTTATATTATATATAACAAAATTATATTATATATTATATTAATAATAATAAATCACATGACATGAATAAACCTAATTCCATTTTTCTTGTGATTAAAATTTTTTATGGTCTTATTTCTTACAAATATTTGTGGCTTGCTTGAATTTACGGTAAACAACCGTCTTTCTTGGAGCAACCAGTCTTTACCATTAGGGGGCAGCAGTGCCAAATCTTTGGCTAAAAACTTGGATTTACTGTAAAACAAACATATATTATGCAAATGGAGGAAGACAGCATGAATGGGCCTCAGGCTTTCATCTCTGGTATGTGTGTGGCTGTCAAAACCTGATGAGACGTGTCATAAGTTATAGAAAATGGCAAGTTGAAGGGAAGCACTCTCAAAAAAATATGAATCCAGTTAATCAGCCACAAATCTAGTCTCAAATATTCAATGAGGAACGTGTATTTGTCTGCGTTCCCTTTCTTTATGGAGATACTGGCAAAATCTTCCTAAACAAATCCTCTAGAATTACCTTGACCTCTGAAAGTATATACATTTAACAGATTTAGTTGTTTTTTAAGAGTGAAAGAAAACAAAAACAAATGTATTATTCCATTGGCAATGGAGATCACATTTAGAATAAGAAATACTGCTATTTAATCTCTCAAAATAAGATTTGATTTGATTTATTTATTATTTGTATTTATTTTTTTATTCATCGCAGTAGGCGGGGATAGTTTTGCTTGTCTTTTGAGGTACGAGTTATTTTTCCGCACCTTAGATTTAGTATTATTATTTTTTCTTATTTATTCATTTATTTATTTGCATACATACATTTATGACAGACTATTGCATCTAAGGCTCGTATACATTTGTATTTATTTATATATCCTCCTGAGAACCAGAAATAAAAAGCTTTGTGAATTTAGTATTTTTTCATGTCATTACATTGTTTAGAGCATAAGAAAAAAATAGTAAAATAACATTTTTGAAAAATGATATTTTATTCATAAGTTATGTCCTCTGTAGAGGACACCAGGACTCAGTTTTTCTAAAAAAATGAAATGACAAGAGTAGACATGAAAAGGTAAAAACAATGGGAATTTTTTTTTAAATCACCAATACATTTTTAGGTTTCAGGATTTTTTTTATAACCAACTTTGTGTAAGGATGGTTCTCAACTATGTTATAAAACGTATAACAAAATGATTTGATATAACATTTTGCTTTATGCAATATGTGTGTAAAAATTCCATAAACTGGTTTTCCCATTAAGCACAATGTTATCTGTACACTGCATCTACTTTGCATATTAAAGTGCTGTTGGCACAGCATGTTGAAAAAAGAAGTGTAATGATGGGAGTAGTCATTGGCCAGATTTTCATAATAATATCTAATATTTCATAAGGATATTGATATGTAATTTGTTTTCCTATTCAATTCGTTTGTCTCCCAAAATGTATAATAAACATACTTTAAGTCCTGGTGTCCTCTACAGTGGACATGTATGAAATGAAAGTCATATTTTGATTTGAAACCCCATAACATTTTCCTGAGATGTTGATTTATGACAAACAATTTGAAAATGAATCAGATTTAAATTATAATTACAAAATATTATCATATTTCCATAAGGATGTACAATTTTATCACTAAATTAATCTCAGCCATTTTTAAAAACCAAGGAGAGGGAGTGGTGATGGTGAAACATCCAATCATTTGGTACCTCTGGAAAGCCCTGAATGTGCTCTGTACAGGACACCCAGACTTACAACTCTCAGAGAAACGCACTAAAATATAATGTCCACTACAGAGGCAAAAACTCCATAGCTGGGTCTCAGGAGGAGATATTAATTTATTTAAATTTTAGGCTATTTTATTTTTATTTTTTTGCACTGAGCAATCTCAAAATGACGTTCCGGGTGCCCCAGATCCCCACCAATAGGTGGCCCAGTTACCTTAAATTGTGACGGAGTCATGATGAACCCCATTCCAGCCCCCCTCCCCAGACTTGTCTCTGCTAGTCAAGTGTAACGTAGTAAAACAGTGTCTCGTCAAAGCGCCCTGCCCTCCCTTCTGCCTTTCCAGTTTTCCCATCATCTCATACGGGTGCCATGGCTCTGACTCCCCCTTCGGCCGTGCGCGCTTTCTCAAGGACGCGATAAACTACTGCTGCGTATCAGATCATTCCCGACCGCTTTTGGTCGTATATTAATTGTTACCGGCGTAACATTCATGTTCATGTTCATTCATACACCGAGAACAGTAACTCAAAGGTCATTCAGAGCAACGAAAGGATTTTATTTGCACCACATTCGTGGTTCTCGACAAGGTGAGTACGGCTGGATTATTTTATATATGGATTATATGTATATATATATATATATATATATCGTAGCTATATTTTTTTGCTGGCCGTTGGGATTAAATAGAGAATTTTAAATAGAAATTAAAATAGAGCTCAGGGAGATTTTAGTCACATTTCCGGTTGATCAAACAAATACAATGCCTGGCATATTGTTCAAACCGTGCGTGTTCAATATTTGTCCGTGGTGTTTATAAATCCGGGTATTTTTTTCTCCGATCCGCCGGTTTAAATGGACTGTAAGATTGTTTCTCAACAGCAACAAATGCTCGTAATGCTGTCCATTTAATTCAGAAACAGTTCGTATGATTATTGATTTATTTGTGTGAATATTGCAGTAATGTGTCGAGCTGTTTCAGATGACTAAAACTAGCCGAAGTCCTGTCAAGGACTAGTCTGGATTTGCCTTTTTTTGTACGTCACACCTGAACTAGATCTCGCTATAGCAAAGGAAAATTGCACATCAGATCTCGTTTTATTTCCCTCTACTATGTCAACTGTTTCTTCTAGACAGTATGGAGAATAAATGAAGAGCTTCTCGGATGTTTCTCCTGAGGAAAAACACGCCAGTAATTTCACGTGTCTCCTCTACGCTTGCAGATCTCAACAGCGGCTCAAATTGTGCTCAGGATTACATGACAGAGATTCCAATATGAATTTAAATAATTCAGACCAAATGATATGATCTGCTATCCACATCAATGTGATAGATGCGTACAACTATCCTCTCATTTGTGTCTGCTTTTAGTAGAAACCGCTGAGGCAAAGTTTGTGGTTGGAGTTCTCAGAAATGCTTTGTCTTTATTCGGTACTTGCTTCTTTTACTTTTAATGGTATGTATTAGTGATAGACTGATTAATCACGTAGCAGTCCTAAACACATCGACCCTGGTTTGAATCTTTGGCAGGCTGCATTCTTAAAACATTTTTGGCATCTATGGTTCCATGAAGAACCTTTAACATCCATGGAACCTTTCCATTCCACTAAAGGTTCTTTATAGTAGAACAATGGGTTATTGGAGTATTAAAATGTTCTTTAGACTAAGAAAAAAATATTCTTTTAAGAACTGGTCACTGAAAGCTTCTCTGGAGAACCCGAAATGGTTCTTCTATGGCATTGCTGTGAATACCTTCTTTTGGAACCTATGATATAAAGAGTGCACGCTTAAAAATAAAGACTCTTTATTGACATTGAAGGTTCCACGAAGAACCTTTAACACCCATGGAATCTTTTCATTCCACAAAAGGTTCTTAATAATGGAAAAAGGTTCTTTAGATTATTCAAATGTTCTTTACAGCAAGAAAAACAGGTAGGCCTACTTTTAAGAACTGTTTTGCTGAAAATGGTTCTTCTACTGCAAAAACCCCCTTTTGTAGAACCTTTTATTAAAGAGTTCATCTTTAACCATCGACCTCACTTGAACATTTAGAGCATCATCTTGGAGCGCAACAGTGGCTGGCATTCTCTGTTGGCTTACGTTTAATTTTAAGTTCTAGTTCTGTCGTTGTACATCCTGGTTGTCTTGGGGACAAGTTGAATCCTTGCCTGAGACTCAATGTCAGTGTTAATCTTAGGGTTTAGTAGAGTGGAAGTACTTTTCCCCATCCATTTTATCATGCACCAGGTAAAAATGGGAAAGTCCAGTCACTTTGAAAAGTAATAACATGCCTTTGCTCAAAAAGCTGCATGATTTGAGGTACATGTCTGTAAATTTAACACCCATGGAATCTTTTCATTCCACAAAAGGTTCTTAATAATGGAAAAAGATTCTTTAGATTATTCAAATGTTCTTTACAGCAAGAAAAACAGGTAGGCCTACGTTTTGCTGAAAATGCTTCTTCTACTGCAAAAACCCCCTTTTGTAGAACCTTTTATTAAAGAGTTCATCTTGGAGCGCAACAGTGGCTGGCATTCTCTGTTGGCTTACGTTTAATTTTAAGTTCTAGTTCTGTCGTTGTACATCCTGGTTGTCTTGGGGACAAGTTGAATCCTTGCCTGAGACTCAATGTCAATGTTAATCTTAGGGTTTAGTAGAGTGGAAGTACTTTAAATGGGAAAGTCCAGTCACTTTGAAAAGTAATAACATGCCTTTGCTCAAAAAGCTGCATGATTTGAGGTACATGTCTGTAACGTTATTTTGAGTTAGGGGTTTGTTTGAATCCTCAACCCTAAGTATGCACCACCAATAAAGAAATCTAACACAAGACTCAGAGGTGCACATGCAGTAAACAGTGCTTCAGAATTGACGCTGTGATGAGTGAGTGTCTGATAACTTCAAGGTATTCCCTTAAATCTGTTGTTATTCCAATGAGCTGTTTATCCTATAGTGATTTGGAGCAATTAGTAGCTAATGCATCCGTCTTCAGTAGAGTTCATCTGTTGTTTCTCTGCATTGCCCGTGGCTGTTGATGGTCCTTATGGGTGCTTTCTTGAGGAGGGACTGATGCTCTTAATTAGATGTGCTCATAATACCACTGAGGACTCTTGAAGAAGGTGCCTGGAGCCTGTGAAGTGGCTTTAATGCCTTTTGGAATTCTGTGAATGTCTTTCAGTGAAAGCCGTGGATGTTTAAGCTGGCTTCAAGTGAGATCATTGGAAAAGCAGCCTTTTAAGGCAAAATTCCTGTTAATTGGTAACATGCCGATGCAGTGGGGCCTTTGTCCTCCATTCACTGGGACCTTCTGTCTGTGAAGAGTGATACACTGGGCTTTGGGCTCTGTTGTGAATGACGTGCTTGTTTCTGTTGACTGGCTTTGAGAATTGGCATGCAATAAAATGTGGCTTCTTCTTTTGAAATGCTATTATGTGAACGAGTGGCACGATTAGTCAAGGAAAGAGAAACCAGAGGACAACAGAGAACTCCCTCAGACTGAAATTTTGGGAAGCAGTTTGACCAAATTATATCAGTTGAACCACTAAGATATTTATAAGAGATATACAAAGGAATTTTTCATATCTGACTCAAATCTCTCATTAATGTTAACCTCCTCAAAATATATCTCTCTCCAATAAAATAACATACACTTTTTTTTTTTTACATTATTTTCATGATAGTAATTGTTGCACTGTCTTGAATGTATTTGTGTTATTTTATTTTTATTTATTTGATTTTATATTTTATTTTCAGAAACATCTGTTGATTCATGGATATGGTGTTGAGATTTCACCTTCTCTTTTATGTGTATATAAACTCTTGATATGAGATTACAATAGGCCTTGACGGGCGTTGAGTGCTTCACACATGATTGAATAAGCGCCTCGTTTTGTGTGATTGGCAATGAAATTTGCATATTTAATGGTCACGCTATTGGCCTCTCTGGGTTTGGTCATATGATGCTGCTAAAAAGAACATTATTTGGTGTAATGAAATGTTTATGTGGTTTAAGGTAAAAAAAAAACACATTATTTTCCACATACTGTACATTATTGTTTCTCCTCTATGCCCCGCCTTTCTGAAACGAGTCGATTTTTCATTGTGGTGGTGGCTCTAGGCATGACGAAGCAGATATCGTCCTCTTTTGGAAGGCCAAACAAAGTAGTTTCACTTTCACAACGAATCACACAGCGCCTTCACTACATGGCGGTGTCAACAACAATACTACAGCGAGAATAAAAGTTACGCCTTTCTTTGCGTGATCATTTGGGCGGCGTTATGCAAATCTTCCCGCATAGTGATGTAGATATGTGGGGGCGTGTTAGAATGAGCCGTTTTAGGTAGGCGTGGCTGACTCTTAACTTTTATAAAGAATATCTCTTTGCATTTGAGACTTTACAGATCTTCTTTATGCACCAAGAGAAATGAAAACTTGAAATCGCATCATATGACCACTTTAACATTTACTGTTGGATTGCCATTGAGCTTGAAACTTGTCGACTGTGATATATCTCATCCCTCGTAGAATTTCTAGTCGGTGCAAAAACTTTCTCTTAATCAAATCATCAGAGTCAGTTTGAATAGACACTTCAAATTCGACTCAAAACTGAATGTGAACTATGGATGTACGGTCTATCTAGTAGTTTGTAAGGTCAAAGGTCATGTCCAGACCCACAACTTTGTGTAAAGTAAATGCTGTTCTTGAAGTTCTATACATACGTTTAACTATATGAAACCATTGTTTTACCATATTTAAATGTGCAAACGTTTTGTTCACTGAATTATTATTATTTTCTTTGGAACAGCATAAGGTTGAGATTTCACCTTCTCTTTTATGTGTATATAAACTCTTGATATGAGATTACAATAGGCCTTGACGGGCGTTGAGTGCTTCACACATGATTGAATAAGCGCCTCGTTTTGTGTGATTGGCAATGAAATTTGCATATTTAATGGTCACGCTATTGGCCTCTCTGGGTTTGGTCATATGATGCTGCTAAAAAGAACATTATTTGGTGTAATGAAATGTTTATGTGGTTTAAGGTAAAAAAAAACACACATTATTTTCCACATACTGTACATTATTGTTTCTCCTCTATGCCCCGCCTTTCTGAAACGAGTCGATTTTTCATTGTGGTGGTGGCTCTAGGCATGACGAAGCAGATATCGTCCTCTTTTGGAAGGCCAAACAAAGTAGTTTCACTTTCACAACGAATCACACAGCGCCTTCACTACATGGCGGTGTCAACAACAATACTACAGCGAGAATAAAAGTTACGCCTTTCTTTGCGTGATCATTTGGGCGGCGTTATGCAAATCTTCCCGCATAGTGATGTAGATATGTGGGGGCGTGTTAGAATGAGCCGTTTTAGGTAGGCGTGGCTGACTCTTAACTTTTATAAAGAATATCTCTTTGCATTTGAGACTTTACAGATCTTCTTTATGCACCAAGAGAAATGAAAACTTGAAATCGCATCATATGACCACTTTAACATTTACTGTTGGATTGCCATTGAGCTTGAAACTTGTCGACTGTGATATATCTCATCCCTCGTAGAATTTCTAGTCGGTGCAAAAACTCTCTCTTAATCAAATCATCAGAGTCAGTTTGAATAGACACTTCAAATTCGACTCAAAACTGAATGTGAACTATGGATGTACGGTCTATCTAGTAGTTTGTAAGGTCAAAGGTCATGTCCAGACCCACAACTTTGTGTAAAGTAAATGCTGTTCTTGAAGTTCTATACATACGTTTAACTATATTTACCTATATGAAACCATTGTTTTACCATATTTAAATGTGCAAACGTTTTGTTCACTGAATTATTATTATTTTCTTTGGAACAGCATAAGGGTAGCTAAACCATTAAAACCCTATTGAATGGCCTGTACTTCTATCCCTCGCGTCTTTGCTTTAAAGAGTCAGTTTATATATTGTAGCTTGAATTTATTAGGGCTGGTCCGAATACCATTTTTTGAGCTTCGAAGCTTCGATGGTAATCAACACCGAATATTCGAAGCTTCAGAGGGAGGGGGGCTGAACATATTATTCTCTCTAATAAAGGCAGGAATCTGCCTTAATGTGTCTGTCTGTCTGTTCACATTTTTATTATGTCGAGAACTGTTCAACCAATCGACTTCACGCGTGGCGGGTGTTTTGCTGCGGACCCAAGGGAGTGCTGTGTCGCATTTTGGTGCAATATGGACACGCGACATGTTCAGAATGAATCAACTTTTAATAAACTACAGAACATCGTAGCCTAACATTTTTCTAACAAACAAATCACTCCCAAATCAGAAATTAGTGGCACAGTAATTACTGACACCAAAGGGAAGACTATTTAAATAAAAGAAGAATGAAAAAAAAGAAAGTTCAACGAACTGTAATAAATAAAGAACACGGTAGCATACTTTCAATAGCATCACACATTTTAATTAATGAACAGTTTAAATAAAATAAAATGAATTCCCTTATATAGAATAAAACAAACTGTAATAGGCTAAATAGAACAAGGTAACGTTAGGCTGGCTAGACAACTCACATTTTAATAAACAAACTATTTCTTTACAAAGCAGTAGTCTGATTTTTCAAACTTGATGTGCTGTTGTGGTAGGCCAGTTTTAAATCGCATATTTGGCACACTGCTTTTGTCTTGTCCTCACTCAATTTAAAGTGCTCCCACACAGCTGAGGTCTTCAGCATTTTTGTCTTCTCTTCCAGATGAACTGAATCATGACGTTCATGACGTTCACTCATGAGCGATTCATATTCAAGCGCGAATGAGAACCGTTTCGCGGTGGATGCCAGGTGTTCGAAAAAAAAAACATTTGAATCTCAAAATTTAAAATCTAATGCCAACCCACCGAATGAATATTCGAATAATCAAATATTCTGGTCCAGCCCAAGAATTTATTAATTATCGTCACTAGGGATGTTCATTTTAACCGGTTAACCGTTAACCGACCGTGAAGAATTTTGACCGATTAATACAATCAGTTAAACGGTTTAAAAAGTCATTTATTTATTTTTTAGTAATTTATCAAAATATTTTAAAAGGTTTGCTGCATAGTTGAAACATGCTAGGCGTATAAAAAATTGCGGAAAAAAAACAAGTCGCTTCTAAGTCGCATTTTATTATTTCATTCAGAAATAGGCCTAATGCCGACTCGAAATGTTTACAAACATTATAATAAACACTGTAAACATAGCTAGGCTATTTTAGTTCCCCTCACTACACAACAAATCCTTTCAATTAACAGTATTTAGAAAAGAACAAGAATTAAAAATATAAGAAGCTATAGCTATATAAACGACAAGCCAAAACGAATTCATTTAGGCTAAAACGAAACTAAAACCAACGCTGCGTCTCTCATTCGACACACAATCAAATGTTTCCATATTCACGATGTATTTGAATGCCAAAATATTATTTATTATGTAGCCTACTTCACTCGCTTTCCAATATCCACGTAAAACAAAATGTTTTGCATAATATCATTCACGGCGGTATGGTGATAACGGCACAGATTTGACTACATATTTAAACTGAGCAGTGTGTTTTTTCCATATGTTTGACTGACTGTATTTTATTATGATAATGAACATTGCATGACAATGCATTGTCAAGGTAGCATTGCTTAACTGCCGGCATGTGGCGCCGGCGCAATCACTTGAATTCTTTCCTTCTAACAGTGGAAGAAACTACTCCTTTTAGTCATAAAGAATGTACATAAATTGTACATTCACAATAAACACAAATCTTTGTGCTTTTGTAAAATAAGCCTAAAGAAAAATAGGATGCCGCTTTCTGCCGTCTGGTTTCCTTTCGCGCAGCACACAAATTAACCGAAACTCTGCATACTAGGCTACTTGTTGCACAGTTTTTCTTTCGTTTTCATAATTTATTATTTAAGTAAAAATATATTTCTCATATAGGCCTATTTATCGATATATATATATAGGCCTATAGCCTAGCTTTATTATGTTTTTCTCCGCTCGCAGAAGCGCTGCAGGTGCGTGATGTGATATGATATGACCATGTGAATCCAAATGTTCTGTTGTTTGCTGCTTTTTGCGCATGTAAAATGAATCTAAAATAAGCCTAAAGAAAAATAGGATGCCGCTTTCTGCCGTCTGGTTTCCTTTCGCGCAGCACACAAATTAACCGAAACTCTGCATACTAGGCTACTTGTTGCACAGTTTTTCTTTCGTTTTCATAATTTATTATTTAAGTAAAAATATATTTCTCATATAGGCCTATTTATCGATATATATATATAGGCCTATAGCCTAGCTTTATTATGTTTTTCTCCGCTCGCAGAAGCGCTGCAGGTGCGTGATGTGATATGATATGACCATGTGAATCCTAATGTTCTGTTGTTTGCTGCTTTTTGCGCATATAAAATTAATCCCCGGGAAACAAATGTTAGTATTTTTTAATGGGTCACAGACACTTATCCTTTTTAATTTAATTAAATTCTAATTTAAAATAATCTTGTCGGTTAACGGTTAATAATCGGTTAACGAGCGTCGGTTGTCGGTTAGGAAAAATTACCGAAATGAACATTCCTAATCGTCACTCAATGTGTCCGAGACCCATTTTTGGTCACTGGTAAGTTTGAAGAGGACGACCCCTCTGAACTCTCACGGCAGTGGACCCATCTGTCCTCATCTGATGTCATTTGAATGGAGGACATGGTGGTGGTGGTCCGTTCGGGGGAACACAGCGCTACTGTGTCCGCACAGAGTTCAGGGCCACTTCCTGTCAACCCGGCGAGCGAGGCCACAGATGCTTCACGTCTCGTTTCAATCCTCCCTCTGTTCTCTCCTTCCGTTATGTGACAGGAAAACAAGGATGGATGGATTGGATTTGTATTATTAAGTAGGCCTGTATGATTATGAAGTGCCACTCAGCTCAGCCATTGATGTGGGCTTTTGAACGGGCTTTGTGCACCCGTCCAAATGATATCTGAATGCTGTTTACTGAAAGCTGATGACTATTTTAAGTTTCGGTCATTTTTTATCTCAAAAATAGCTTAACTGTTGAGTCATAGTTTTGGAGTCTTGTTATCTAAACTGCTTGCAGTCTTTTAACTGAAGCTGTTATAATGGACCTTGCTGAGGTTAGGAATGACTCAAATGTGAAGAAACTATCCAGTAGTTTGTAAGGTCAAAGGTCACGTCTAGACCCCACCCACATGCAATCTGCGCATGCAGAACTTTGTATACTTTAGCGTATAAAGCCAATGTTTTACCAGATCTAAAATAGTGTATAAAAAGTTTGCAGCTTCCAGTCTACATCGTTTTGTCTACTTGAATTTCTTTGGAACAGCATAATGTTTTGTTGGCTAAACCATTAAATCCCTATTGAACGGACTGTATTTCTGTCTTTCATGGCTTAGTTTTTCATTCGCTATAAGTTAAATTTGGCGTCCACACTCTCGAAGGTCAACAGAGGAACCTGTTTCCTTTACTTGCTTGTTATTAAAACTTAACTTTGAAATTTTTAGCCCAAAAATCTATAATTTATTTGCTTTGTATTTGAGGTGAGTGCTCTGTGATAACTCAGGGACACTGGCATATGTGATAATTAAATGTTTTTGACATTTTTGTGATATTTATCAAGACAGGAAGACTTATACTCATGAGTTCATCATGTGGTATTGCATGCAAATATCCAATTTCACCTCACTGTCACCTTTCTGGGTGTCGTGGTTGCCGAGGGCAGCTGACAGTGGTCTTGCGTACATACGCCCACATCATTCAGCATGAAAAATTCCATGCATGTGAACAGCCCGAGAGCGCTTGGGGTGGTGTTTTATGTTGAGATTAAGTTGTTGTAGGTTTTTGTTTCAGTTGGGTGTTCAGAAAACGCTAGTTCTAGGGTCACTCAGTTCACAATCTACTTAATATTAATTTGTGCGTGAATATTAATGAGGTTTTCTCATTATCTCCCAATCCTTAAGGAAAATGCTTAGTGGCTTCCTGAGCCAGAAAAAACAAAAAATCCCAAACCTCTCAGAATCACATGCTCGTGCAGCAGACGTTTGGAATTTGCCTTTAAATTCGAATATGACCGCAGGGCATCTTTTTAAAGCAAATTCTTCTTTTGGTGTGCCATTTGAATATTTAAACAGTAGTGTGAGCTGTAATGGAAATCACTTTGCTCTCCTCAAGTCTGTTATGGAAATGTGGAGGGTCGGAGGCTGTAATGTTTGATGGCTGGATGAATCGCGGGACATCTGCGGGGCATTTGATTGCAGGGCTGATTTGTCCTTGGCCATTGTTTTGGTGCACATGAAGGGACCATCACCATGCTTGTGCTTCACTGAATGAGAAGATTCAGCAGCCTTCTTTCTTTAGTCATGTCTGTTTCCTTTTTTCTTTTATTTCCAGAGGAAGTTCAAAGGTGACCGAATGTGAAACTCAGTCTTTTTTCCAAGTGATCAGTAATCAGCTGATTCTGAGTGTTCGCTGTGCCGATGGGTCGTGCCCTGACTTGCTTGCAGAACGTGATGAAGACATGAAGAGGCAGATATAGACCAAAACAGCACGGTTCAGAAAGTTAAGTCAAATCAAATTACATGTATTTATTTGGCAGTTTAAAGCAGCTTTACAAGAATAAACAGGATAGTAACAGTGTCAGTGCTGTAAAACGTATCAGTAATGAAACAAATTCGATTTCAGCTGTAAAGCAGCTCTACAATAGATAATGGTGTCATTATTCAGCTCAGTGTAGTTCAATGTTGATTCAGTTCAGTATCAGTGTGAATGTTGCATTATCCAGCTTAATTTAATTCAAGTTTTGTTCTCATCCAATAGTGTCAGTGCAGCTACATCAATGTTGTATATTAATTTTCTTCTAAACTCCTAAAATCCCATCCAACTTTTCAAATTTTTAGTACACTCTAAAAAATGCTGGGTTAAATACAGGCTCATCTCTGTGACTTCAGCATGCCCTGGTTGTGTGAGAGATGGAGAGATGTCAGGACTCGTCTCTTCATGCGGCTTGCATTCCAGAACTACTGCAGGGATGAGTGATCTGCTCATTTTGGTGAACATACACTACCGTTTAAAAAAAAAAAGTCTCTGATGCTCACCAAAGCTGCATTTATTTGATTGTATAGTAGATATATAGTATCTATACATAGTATCATATATAGCGAGTATAGTACTTTCAGTTCAATATATTAAACCTTACTATAATAATGTTGCACAAATTTATGTTAATGACAGCCTGATGTTTAAATTTTTTTTTGATGCATGGCCATGGACTGAAAAAAACATGGTGTAGAAACAAATTTCACTCAGAAATTGCTTGTAAATTTCACAAATAATTTCAAAGTAATGGCAAGTAACACTGAAGTAAATATGAAATTTTGAAGTACACTCTTAAAAATAAAGGTGCTTCACGATGCCATAGAAGAACCTTTTTGTCTAAATGGTTCCATAAAGAACCTTTAACATCTGTTTCACAAAAGGTTCTTTGTAGTGAAAGAAGGTGCTTCAGATTACAAAAAGGTAAGCAAGAGATGGTTCTTTAAAGAACCTTTGACTGAATGGTTCTTTGTGGAACCAAAAATGGTTCTTCTATGGCATCGCTTGAAGAACCTTTTGAAGCACCTTTATTTTTTAAGAGTGTAGAACAACTGAAACAGTATTTTTTTCTAATTCGTTTGTACTACTTTTATTTATTTATTTACTTTTTTTATATATATATATATTTTTTTTTTTTGACAGCGTTCCTCCTTTAAATCCATTCTTCAAATTTCACAAATTTCCCCAACAATCTCTGCAGAAAACATGCAAATTTCATATGGGCTTAGTAATGCTAAATGACCCATTTCTTCAACCCTTTCGCTCTAACAACATCTTGCACAGAAAAACAGGAGCTCTGAATCATGGGAATCCAAGCAAATCAGAAGCTATTGACCTGTGCCAGGCTTAAGTCAGTGCTGACATTCATTGAAATGCTCCCTTCAATGACGAAGTTGCCAGAACAGAAGGATGCAAAGAGGGTCATCTACGAGTTTCACATCAAAGACTCCCTCTTCCTTCTTCCTTAGAAGGGCTTAGACTGGGAGGTAACGCTTATCTCTCGTAATGTGCCGCCGGATAAATGTGATGCTCCATTTTTTATCTGCAAGCAATTCTCTTTGGCTGTATGTTCATGGGAAGAGGCTTCGCTGCAGAAAAGAGAAAACATGAGAACAGACCACTTTAAAAAATCTGAAAGTGTAGTTCTGTCCACATGCTACACATCTGGCTGTGAAAGAAACGGTTTCGTCTTTCTTGCGTCTTCCTTTGTTTCATTAAGGAAATCATCAAGGGAAAGATAAACCCCAAAGGATCCATGTATCTCTTCCACTCTCTCACAGTATCACTTGCACACACATCCCCCCCAGCCACCCTTGTTTCTCTCTAATACTCCTGACCGCAGATCTCTGCTCTTTGCACACACACCATGACCATATTTAGATGCAGGAAAGAAGCGTGCTTGTATGATTGTTTACAGATGACAGCAGGAGACCATAGGAGCATGACTCACTGGTGTTGCTGTAGGATCAAGAATGCTGAATGCAAATGCAATAAACCAGCCTATTAATTACCAGCACTGGTATATATTTCAGCCATATGGTGCAATCTTTCATATTTGTTGGTTTTCAGGGCTCGCTGGTAATTTTAATTCATCATGGCCTTATAAGGTGAATCTCACAGATGAAATGTTCAGGTTTTACCCTGAAAAGAAGTAAGAAATATTTTGCATAAAGAAAATAAGGCCTATTTTTAGAACCAGTAAAAAAAATTGCACTGTTTTCATGACAATTAAGCATGTTTCTGCATCAATTCTAAGTACTAAAATATAACTGTGCTAAATGTCAGAAAAGCTTTAAAAATTATGAAATTCAGAAAATATTTTCTCAAGTTCAGAAAATAGTGCCTTTATCTTTCCAGTATTGACAAACTTTGGGCAGTACATATCCAAATGGCTTGTGCTTTTTTAAAATAATTAAAGTCCATTGAATAAAATAAACATAATTAAAATAAACGTTAACTGAAAATAAAATAAAAAATATATATAAAATATATATATAAAATATTTTAATATAAAATAAAAAATGACAAACAACAAAATTACTAAAAGTTTTTTATCTAAAATTAAAAGGAAACAATATATGATTGTACATTATTGATAATGATAGTACACTCTAAAAAATGCTGGGTTAAATACAGCCCAGTGCTGGGTAAAATAGGGACAAACCCAGCAATTGGGTTGTTTTGACCCAACAGTTGGGTTACTACCCAGAAGGTTGGGTTAAACATTTAAACATTTGGGTTAAACATTTAACCCAACCGCTGGGACAAAACAACCCAATTGCTGGGTTTGTCCCTATTTTACCCAGCACTGGGCTGTATTTAACCCAGCATTTTTTAGAGTGTAAAATAAAACTGCTACCGACATCAGCTAAAAGCCACACAAATTTTGACTTCATGATCCAAGAAAAAAAAAAGCTTAATTTTCTTTAATGCAAAATATAATTCGTTTTTTCTGTGGATGAACTATAACCAGGACAGAAGAATAACCAAGAGAATCTCATGACCGTTTTCATGAGATTCTCCCAAGAACTGAGATGGATATCTTGGCTCAGGGTTTAGAGAATGTGATATGTTTACACTGTACACACATACTAACACCTCTTCGTGAGCTCTCTGTAGCGAAGAAAATGGTTTTGTTATGAAGCAGGTTTTATTTTTACACAGGCTTCTTACTTTCAGCATGAATTCCACAGCGCTTTCGTGCATCTAGTAACAAGACAGCTGAACGGTGAACGATAAGTTTGCTAGGCATGAATCATTGGGACCCTTTCCAAACTTGTTAGTTTTTGCAGTTGTAGTTGTTGGCTTGCATGTTTGCTGCGTGTCCTAAAGTCAGACTGTTGTGGCGTAACGAATACAAACGCAGAGGAATTTACACCGGTAAAGTCATGTTTATTCATGCATATGCCTTTGTGATGTGTAATCCTGCCACACCTTTCATGCAAAGCAGCAATAGTACTGCTCAGATATGCTAGATATGCAGGATATGATTGATCAAAGGCAGGTACATGGTGTTTCTGAATATTGTCAGCTCGTGTGGACACAGTGTCATTGCATACCAGGTTCAATTTGGTGTAACAAAAGTGTGTTATGTTGCTTCTTAAAATGCATGATCCTTTTGCTGAATGCTGTTAGCTGAATCAGAATGACGTTTTCTGACTAGCCAGACTCTAGAGACATGCAGTTTCACCCTCTATTAGAAAATACAAATATAACAATTTTCATGTAGACCGCAGAATGTCAGACTGAACAATGTCTTATCTAATACAAACATGTGCGTTATCAAATTCATAGTTTGATTTGAGCATAAACAGTGTAACTTTGCCTGGTATTTTCATGGCATAGTTGGAGTAGTTTGACTGGCTCAACTAATAGCGTGAGTTAGGACAGGTCTATTTGAGAAACCTGTTTGAAAAGGATCAGTTGTGTTTGCATTGCTATTACTATAGAGTTGTAACAGTCGGGTTCCGCAAGTAAAAATCCCATTCATTTTTTCCCATGGGGAATTGAACTCCTAAACCTTAAAAGACAGACCTATTGAGCTACGAGGTGTTAAACCTGTCCAAACCTGTATGAGTTTCTTTCTTCAGTTGAACACAAAATAAGTGGGCTACTTTAAAGTAAAACACTAAACCAAACTCAATCACTTTAAAAGGCTGCAATTGAATTTAGGCCAGTATTTGCAATGCATCGTGGGATTGTAGTTTTTTCCCCCTTATTAAATTTGTTAAGCTCACAGTCTTGTACCTTCATCTTCTCTTTTTATCTGATATTGAAGTTCTTTTTTGCTCCAAATCAAATTTTGTAATATTCTGATTCATTTCGTAGCTGGTTGGTTTGGTTCATGGCTTATAACGCTTTAATTACGGCTTCTTCTTTTTTTTTCGCAGTGGGAAAATAATAATAGGAAAAGTATTTCATGTGCTGTTGATAAAGTGGGTGGGACTTGTTCCCCTCGTATATTCATTCACTCATACACTATTGCTTATATTTAAGGTTGCCTTGCAACCACCCACAACAGCCTTGTGGAAATTTTTCCTTTTTCTATAAAGTCATTTCTATAAAAAATTTAGAAAATTGGTTATCATTGTGCCAAACACCCTTTAATAGCAACTACATCCATGTCTTAAAGGGTTAGTTCACCCCAAAATGAAAATCCTGTAATTAATTTCAGTTAGTTGCCAAGGCAGCACATAGTTTTTGTGTAAGGTTTCATCTAATATTTGTGTTTTATTTTAATAAACAAAATCCATGTTTTCTTTTCTTTTTTTTAAACCAATAACACTGATTTAGGCATTATTATGTACATTGTTAAACAATGGATATTCATTTTGTGATTTGCTAAAGATTCGGGTTATTAAATTATTAATGCTTTTAAAGATTAACAGCTAAAAATAAAATTTCTTACATTTACACACCCGTTTTACATTCTGTCTTCTGCAGAACACTCATATAAATATATATATT